ACGCGTCGGAACAGTGGTTCGGCCGCCGGAGACTTCCACCGGCGCGTGGATGCTCCGATCAACACGCGGCTTGGACAGACAGGGTCGCCTCCCTGAGCCGTTCCTGATCGCGTGGTGGTTGGTTGGAAAAGTCGCCGGAAAAGCAGTCTGACGGCGGTGAACAGTGGCGGACGGTGGTTTTGTGGCGGTTTCCGGCGATGAACGGAGGCTGACGATCTTTTTCCTGATGATATGAGGTTGAGGACAAGAAATTTGTGACTAAATAAGGTTTAGGTGTGAAAGGATGGTTGTCGGTATGATGCACGGCAGTAAAAAGAAAGGAAAAGATATATATGCGGAAGCAGAGCCCTCAGATCGAGAGCTCTGATACCATGTAAAGAACCTTGGGATACACCACCCCAAAAGCTAGCTCAAAGGGTGGGAGTGCCCAAGGCCTTATAAAGGCCACATTAGTTGCACATACAACCAATGTGAGACTATATATCTCAACAGTAGTAAAGTCTGCCATCCTCTCTAGCACCACCAATCATCCTCTCCGAGTTATGTTCCTGAAAAAACAACCATGTGGAAAGAATTTAGCAAAACAATGCAACTCAGAAGTCAGCTTGCTAATGGAAATGAGATTGCAAGCCAGAGAAGGAACATGAAAAACTGATGTTAAATTAATTTGCTCAGAAAGTTTAATAGTTCCGTGTCCGGCAATATTGGAGAAACTGCCATCGACGATCTTGACCCAAGAGGGTTCAGAACATGGAGTGTAAGAACAAAATAAGGTCGGATTACTTTTCATATGGTCAGAGGCTCCAGAATCAAGAATCCAACGAGTTTGATTATCAACATGGAAGGTTGAACCTTGTTGAGCCATATTACTAGTGATCTGCATGGCTAAGCTATCTCCAGAAGATTGAGCATTGGAGGCAGATGAGGACACGGAAGAATGATCCGAAGAAGCCATGAATGAAGAGAGGGTAGAACAAAAAAATTGATAAACAGTAATTTCGGCGTCAGTGAACAGTAACTTCGGTAGCGTGAACAGTAACTGGTGACTTTGTTAGAGTATAATATAAATCATTAAAAAGGTCCTTACCTAATAGCTTAAGCTTTTGGATTGAATTGGTTCTTTACATGGTATCAGAGCCTCGTTTCTTGGGTTCGATCCTCGCCGCCCCCCACTTTCTCTTGCGGAATTTCTTATCACAGGTAGGCGGGCTTGTGCATCATCTACCTTTCAAATTCAATGGGCTCTCTTGTGAGGAGGCATGCTAAAGAATAATATAAATCATTAAAAAGACCTTCACCCAACACATTAAGGTTTTTGGGTTGAATTTGTTCTCATCTAATAGCTTAAGCTTTTAGGTTGAATTGGTTCTTTACATGGTATCAGAGCCTCGGTTTCCTGGATTCGATCCTCGCCGCCTCCCATTTTCTTTGTGGAATTTCTTAGCACAGATAGGCTGGGCCTAATGTATCATCCACCTTTCAAACCCAATAGGCTTTCTTGTAAGGGGGCGTGTTAGAGTATAATATAAACCATTAAAAAGACCTTCACCCAACACCTTTAGGTTTTTGGGTTGAATTGGTTCTTTACAACCTAAACAGTATTTCCAGAGACGTAAACACTGTTTCTGACGACCTGAATAGTGTTTCCGGCTGAGTGAACAGTACTCGAGTGGCGGTGATCAATGTTCTGGCTTTGAGGATGGCTGATCTATGGGTGGAACGAACCCGTTCTTGATACCATATTCAAAAAGTAAAAACAAAGAATTTTTTTCTGGATTGATTCAATTGTTTTACATGATAGGAGATATTTATACAAGAGTAGATGACAAAAAATATATTAGAATTACTCAGCAATGAGTCCTTAGTCCTATCCTAAAATTCAAAACTCAAATTCCTATTAAAGAAAAAATTAGACACTAATTAATAGGAAATAAAAGCGGAAAGATTTTAAACTAATTTCCTACACTTCCATTAAAAAAACTTACTTTGACCATCACTTAAACATCTAGTTTTCCTTGATGACAGCTCCCCCTTTGTTGTTTTTGTACAGTCATCCTGCTTCTTGTTCAAATTTATAACAAAAAATATTCTAATGATTTGGTAATATGAAGCTAATTTTAGATGGTTATTGAAGCAATGCAATAATTTTTTCAATCAAGAACTTCTGCTTTAGCCTGAAGCTTCTCCAATAAAGGATTTGTCATGGTGGCATGTTTGTGGTGTTCTGTCCCGTCTTCTATGATAATTATTCAAAGATATTAAGATTGTTGAAAATATAGAGATTTCGATAGGGAAGGAAGAAAAGACAGAATAAAGACCGACTAATATGAAATGGGTATTGATTTGATGTGTTATGATGTGATAAAAATTACAGAATTAATCCCTATTTATACTAATATTAGACTCCAAATCGTAATTAAATAAAAAAACAGATCATGAAATATAAAGTGATAAGGAAACTATAAAAGATTATCTAAGATACTCTAAATTATTCCAAGATACAATCAAGATATTATGAGATACTTTAAGTTTGTTATATATGATCCTCTTAAAAATGAAAAATAACCAGACAATATAATTTGTGGTCCATAAAACATGGCTAGAAAGGCAACTCAGTGATGCAGGAGTTGTCAGAGGTAAGCATTGGTGGAAGGACAACTCAGCAATATGTCTCTGCAGTGATCATTAGCCTGAAGGAGCTGGTTGAAATGTTGCATGACCAAGCAAGAAGAGATTTCATTGGAATGATCATCAGCGAAAATGTCTTGGCAAGCAATTATACATAGCAAGAAGTAAAACTGCTCCAAATTCATCAAGAAAAAATTTGGAAGCTTCAAAACAAAAGGAAATTTAGGAGACCCAAAAAATAAATATTGAAATTGAGGTGCCGTGCATCATAGCCATGGAGAATTCATTGTTGGCATGACTCATCGGTGAGATAGGAGAAACCACTATCAACAATATTCACAATGGGAGGCTGGTGTAAATCACAGCCAATTCATTACTGATTCATCATTATATTACTTATTGTAAGAAAGAGTCACCAGAGTGATTGTTAGTGCGAAGAGAGAATAACATGAGTAGGTCTAAGCAAAAACGGCTACAATATCTACTACAAAGAACAGAGGCTATAAAACATTTATGGAACAAAGGTCAGGGCCAAATGGGGGTGTGCGTGAGATTGGCTTGTTGGTATTGAGGTGCGGCGAGGAGAAAAAGACTGTTGTGATGGGCACGACAGGTATGGAAATATTTACCCAAGGAGAGTGGGCGCAACTGGTTTACAGCTTGTCGACTGAGACGAGAAGAAAAGAATCATGGAGATAGTGACATTGTTACAATAGAGTTTTTGATTTTAGGAACTCAACTGCATTATAGTGATAGGATAGGTCATGGAGGATGATGCTGATATGATACTGTAAAGAACCTTGGGATACACCACCCCAAAAGCTAGCTCAAAGGGTGGGAGTGCTCAATGCCTTATAAACTCCACATTAGTTGGCTCATACAACAAATGTGGGACTATATATCTCAACACGGCCCCTCACACAAGAGCCCATTAGGCTTGAAGAGTGGAAGATACAACAGGTCCAGCCTACCTGTGCTAAGAAAGTCCACAAGAGAAAGTGGGGGGCGGCGAGACTCTGATACCAAGTAAAGAACCTTGGGATACACCACCCCAAAAGCTAGCTCAAAGGGTGGGAGTGTCCAATGCCTTATAAACTCCACATTAGTTGGCTCATACAACCAATGTGGGACTATATATCTCAACAGATACCATGTTAAAATTATAGGGATTTAGATAAGGAAGGAAGAAAACAGATAATAAAGACAGTAATATGAAATTGGTATTGATTTGACAGTGCAATGATGTGGTAAAAATTACAAAGATCTAATTTCTATTGATACTGATGTTAGACTCCAAGTCCTAATAAAATAAGGAAATATATAGAAATAAGAAATCTGTTCTTAAGAGATAATATAAGATACTCTAAATTATTCTAGGATACAATCAAGATATTATGAGTTATGAAGCACCGACACTTCAAAATTCCCGATGTGTCGTGTCCTACATTTTTCGACACTCCGACACTTCCCGATACTTCAGTACTCGTTGCAAAGACTTAAAAATGGTTCAAAGGTTACGTTGCGTTGCATTTTGAGTTCCAACTATTAGATTCGTTGGATTACGATTACTATTTTATTGAGTTTAATATAAACATTTAGGATATCTTATGTTTCTTTGCAAAATTAATGGGTATTATAAGTTTAGTTTTATTTTTTTGTTAAATTATTGAATATTAAATATAATATACACTACATAAATTAAAAATGTTATATAATATCAAAACGTGTCTTAACGTATCGAAATTTAACATTTTTTAAAATTAACATGTCAGAGTGTCGTGTCGTGTCGTATCGTATTTCGTGTCCCGTGTCGGTGTCGGTGCAACATAGATTATGAGATATATTTCATATACTCTAACAAAGTTTTTTCTCCATATCATATATATCTACCAGGAAATGAAAATAGAGGTGTTTCCTGATTTACATATTTGTTTGGATGGTGAACGTGCAATATCCTATTTTTCTCTAACTTAATATAATTGCTTATGAGGACAAAGTAAAAGTATTCAAGTATATTTTCTTCATTTAGGGTCTCACTATGATTATGTATATTGGTTTTAGAAGTATGCTGTTTTTTCAGGTTTGACTCCAGCTCTGTTTTTATATATATTATATCAAATTAATTACGTTATTTAATTTGAAGGTGTGACTATTCTCAATGTGAAGTTGCGTTGCTTTATTAATAAAGAATGCACTTATATGCTTTGCAGTTTTGGATATTTATGAAATATTAAAGCAGTGCAATCAAGCATTTTGGTTCCTTTTTATAATGTTCATTATAGAGGAATAGTTCTTTCCTAGATTTTGGCTATGCTGGCTACTACCTGATTATTGCTCTAATGTCCAATACCTACATGTTCTGGCATCTATAGGTTACAGGCCATTTGTGGAGGCATGCATCGAAGCAGATGAAAAGGGAGAAGCTATTAAATATATCCCAAAACTTGCTGATCCTCGAGAAAAAGCTGAGGTATTTTAAGCTTGTCTCTGATAGATGTAATTCTTTGCTTTCCAGCTAAATGTATCCATACAACTGACACTCATTGCTAACTCGGTAGAATTAAAGGATTGAAATGTTATGATAACTAATCTCAGAATAGTCAGTTTCCAATTTCATTCTTCATTACTGTTTCTCCATGGTATAGATTGAACAAATTTCCTCCTTTCGTAATAATCAATTCTCCACAAAGTGAAGCCTGCAATGTGTGCTGAAATTGAGCCAAATATTTGCAGAAACCACAGCTCAATAAATAATAAATGCTGGTAAAGAAGAGAAATAATCAACATATATAGTAAACGAAGCTACCCAAGGATATAAATCTTGTTATTACTGACTATGTTCCTTCCCTGCCTCTGATCATAATTATCATAGTCCTTTTTGTCCTACTTTTATTATTATTTTTGTTGTGATGCAGGGATGAATTGAGGGTTAATAAACAATTTGTCATTTATTTATTTTTTATTAATATTATGATTATTAATTTTTTGGGATATTTTTTTTTTTTTTTTTTTTTTTTGGGGGTAGGGCAAAGGAGGGCGATATTTGCTATTAATAGAATTTTTTAATTACAAAAGGAGGAAATGACAACTAGGCAGAGGATAAGGTATCCTCCAAAATAGAAAATTAAAGATACAATACAACAGGGGACGAGACCGAAAAAAGTAAAGGCTACCCGGTGTATATGTATCAGAAATAACAACTCCCTTGAAACAGAAGTCATAAACAAAGTCCTATCCCATTACAAATTTGGGGGCAAGCAGACACCCTTAAAGATGCAAGCTTTGCGTTCCACATAATTGCCCATAAGGATTGCCTAAAGTGTACATTGCTACCGAATTGTAGGACTATTTTGAGCTTTTTGCCATGGTAGTGAGACTTTAGCTCAAATTAGAGCTTTGCCTACAATACAACAGAATTCTTCTTCTTTTTAGTGTATGTTTTCCCATTGTAATGTGCTTATTGCAGCTTTACACAACTTTCTCTTATCTTGGGCAGTCATATGCTCGAATTGGGATGGCCAAGGAAGCTGCCGATGCTGCTTCACAGGCAAAAGATGGTGAATTACTTGGTCGTTTGAAATGGACTTTTGCTCAAAATGCATCAGCTTCAACAATATTTGATACTCTTCGAGATCGGTTGTCTTTCCAAGGTGCTTAGTGATTTTCTTTCCTGGGTTTTCTGCCCCCTTATACTATTTCCCTACTTATTATTGACTTCTGCTTGAATATTTATTGTGTATATTATCTTAAAAATGTAATCTTATCTGCTAATGTCGAGGTAAATGTGCTTGCTCAAATGCTGTCTTTCCCCCCCCCCCCCCCCCCCCCCCCCCCCCCCCTTCTTTTAGATGTTACAAGAGGCCGTTCACTTTTTTGTGTGTTTTATATTGCTTGATTTATCGTCACTGTCAGTGTACCTGTATCATACAATGTGAATGAATAATGACCACAGCTAAGCTTGTTTATTGTATTGACCATTGCTTTGTTCTTATTCCATGGTCCTAATAATGAACACTGATACAGAAAATATAACTATGTTCTAGTTTGCCAAACGTAGTAACAGAAAGTCCTGTTTTGGATGTAATCTTCAAACAACTCTTCATGTTTGGATGGAAGGAAGTTCTTGACCTGTTGTGTATCTCAAGCTAGACCCTGTTTTTATAATGTCGCTCCAAATTTGGGAAGTGGGAGGAGTTTGAGCATTTTTATTTTTATTTTTATTGATTTATTTATTTTATTTTCCCTTTTCCTCCCATCTAACATTCCAACAATTGAGAGGTAGTTTCCCCTCTTTACATATTGAACCCTCAACATGGTCTTAGGATTATTCACAGTGCACTAAGCGTATGAATGAGAGCCAATTTTTTAATTTTGCTGAAACAAAAATAAAATAAAATAAAATAATGACATTGTGCTTGTTGAAGCCGATTGAATATGCAGGATATTCCATCGTTCTATCCTTGAAATTATATACATTTCTTAATTAATGGTTATGCTGCTCGTTAATTTCAATCCTCCTAGAGGACGTTTATGCATAAGGACAAGATACTTGAATAAAATATAATTGACACGCGAAAATGGTCCCTCAAACCTTTCAAAAATAATAATCATATATTAGCACAAACTACTTTAATGAAATATAATTGACGAAGATGTCAATTTATTTAGTATATTCGTTAAATTTTAGAATCCAAATTGTGGTTTGCATTTCTGTAGTGATTCGAGGGTTGTGGAACGCTGAATCTGAGAGATGTTTTATAATATCAATATCAAATCTGTCAATGACTTCTCAATTACATTACCAGGTTCAATGTATGTAAGAGTTTTTGAGATTTCGATATGCGCACCTGGGCTGCGTTACTTACCTTTCCTTTGTAGTCCAACTATTGCAATTTTTTTTAATCGTTGCTATTGTTTTGTTCATAAACATCATTTCTGTAAAAGCTCAACTTCAATGAGGAGGCATCAATTTGCGTCAGTTTCAGAAGTATCGAAGATTTTATTGGGAGTAAGGTTGGGGATAAGTAGTTTAATAGGAGAATGACGGATTAGGTCGTTTCATAAAAATATTTCCAACTAGGGTCGTTTAAGAAATTTAACCTCATAATAAACTGATTTAACCATTACTTTACTTATCATTTATGAACATTTTTTCTTTCAGGTTAGTAGTTTACCAAAAGTATTAGTTTATATTTCTCACGACATATGTGCAACTCTTTTTGTCATTTTTTAACATGACCTTGTCTTAGCTGCATGGCTTGACAGATTTGGCGGATATAAGCCATAAATCGTTTCGCTTTCTACATATTATAATTTTGGGTTATATATATATATATATATATATAGGGACAGAATATTCTTACACCGGTGTAAGAATTAGAAGTCTTACACTCAATCTTGACCATTGATCCACTTGTATCCAATGGCTCACATTACTAAAAAATTTGAGCCCTTAGATAAAAGTGGGATTAACGGCTAAGATTAAGAGTGTAACTTACACTGGTGTAAAATGATCCTTACCCATATATATATATATATATATCATGTTACATGGCATTCTTAGTGTCATGTTACTTTCACGTGACAAATGAGATCTGTCTTTTTTTTTTTTTTGAGTGGGACCCACATCAAATATATTAGAGTAACATGACACTAAAAGTGTCCTACAAAATAACATATATAAAACCCTATAACTTTATGGCTTCTGAATCATTAGTTAGGAGTATTCAAGAATTCATGTTAAGTCGACTCAAAACAATGGGCCTCAAAACAAATATTTTGGTTTTCAATGCTTAGATGGTGCAAAATTGATTAAAGACAATTAATATATCAAAGTTTTAGAATTACATATTTATCGACTCAAAATACCTATCCTTTGCCAAGTTCATACTATGAGAGTTATTACAGCACTTTATTCTTTATTTTTGTTCCGCAATACTTCTAACTAGTTATCAAACACTTATTGGTTGTTAATTCTCACTGTAATGTATGTTTAAAGTCCAGTAAAATATTACAATTTTTTCCGGTGACACCATTAAAATATTACTACCAACTATATTTGAAAAACAACTCTTAAAATAGAAGTTATTTATTTATTTATTTTTATTTTAAAAAAAAGGCATGGTTACCGGAGTAATTAACTACATATAATTCGGCAAGCTCATCAATGCTCTTTTTCTAAAGGAACCATTCAATTGAATGTAACCTTTTCTTCTCGATGTATCCTTTTGCAACACAACAAACTTTTATTTACACACTCCAGGCTTTTCAGCGCGATTCACCTTATTTAGTTGCCACTGAATTTAAGAGATATAATAGTAACTGCTGCATTATTCACCTTATCTAAAACACTAGGGGGAGCATTATATTTCCACAGCATAATACTTCCCACCACGAAACAGCTGATATTATATAATTCCCCTCCCTCCCCGCGGCCAAGAGGCTAGAACAGTGATAACAAACATGGAGGGCTGCTAACCTTGGACTTAATTTCTACATGTTGATTTGCACTTAATTTCAGACTAATTTACTTTTTTTTTTTTTTTTTTGCATATTTTACTCAGAAAATGAAAATGAGTGTGTGTATTATTATGTGTTAAGTCGAAATATTATTAAACTGGAACTGGACTTCATTTATGAAGGTTTAAAAAGTGGGGCTAGATCGGCACAGATAGATTGGGCCTTATTTAGAGGTGTGAGTCTATCTTGGCCCAATGGATGCCTAACCCTAGCTGTTGTTTCTCCGTCTACTTCACTAGAGTGAAAGTGAGTTGGGCTGGGCCGAGCTTTGTCTTGAAAAATCCAAATCTATGTAAAAAAATTTTAATTTGACCTGACCCGATAGCATAGTACGAATCTAACTGCTTGTATGGCCTTATCCATTTATAAAAAAACAAATGGCCTAACCTGACCCGTTAGTCTGTTAATTTTTAACTTCCAAGCATAATATGAATCAACTTCATAAAATACTCAAATTCTATTGTTAAAACAAAAACAACAGTTTCAACGTTCAAACAAAACCATGAATCCCAACAACAACTTATCACAATCTGCATTGAAGTCACTTTTAGAAGCAAGATACCCAAACTAAATAGCAAATATTTCATCAGATCCAACAAAACAGTACATATTATATCAATTAAAATAACTGCACGAGTCCAACAAATGCATCATGATGCTTGTAGTAGCCAAAAACTTCTTATCATCTTTTCTTCCCTGCAAATACAATTCCAAGGTTACATAAGTTGACAAACAATTTGTAAATGTAGAAAACAAAAAAGCAAGATTGAAGAATAGAAATAAAAAAAATAATTTAAATTTTTTTTTTATACCTTTTATTTTATTCTTCAAGCCATACTTATTACGTAGCCAATCTCTACCATATATTAAAGCTTGGATGGTATCTTCAGCCAAGTTAGAACGATATGCATCAATAACTTTTCCTCCAGCACTAAATGTTGATTATGATGCTAATGTAGAGATTGATACAGATCTTATGTCACTCTCAAAGGTAATATTGACGGGAAATCGAACCTAGGTCCTTCCACCATCTGCTTAGTTCACATGCACCAACTGAACTATCACCATTATGTCACTTCCAAAGGTAATATTATTTTATTGGCTCGACATGTAAAAAAAAGTCTATGACCTGTTTTCTAAATAGACTTTTAAAAAACTCGTGCCTGTTCTATTTGACTATATGTAATAGGCCGAATCTGACTTAATATATGAGAGGCAGTAGGCCCACGGACCCTAGCCATTTACCCTCCTAATTGTTATGAATGCTCTCGTCTCGCTTCGAAAATCCCGTAAAGAAGGGAAATTTAAACTATAAAAGCAGCAAATTGAGTACCAGTTTTCATCCATCATACGGAATATGTCCAAAATTTCTATGCAAAGCTTAACATTTACAATTGAAAGCACTACGAATAAATAGTTATCCATATATGTACTGTGAGTGAAGTTGGCATCACTTATTCACTTTCAACTTTTACCTAATGTTTATAATCAGTCACATAATTCCAATCAGTTTTGCCACATCCACAAGATAAGGGAAAGTTTATTTGTTGGTTGCTAGTCAGCTTATTGCACCATTTGCATAAAGCAGCTAGTGGTTTTCACCATTCTGTTGTGAACTCGGTTCCCTCAAGCTCGGCTTAACAGCCTTTTGCGAAAGTCAATCAACCAGATCCTCGATCTCGGATCTCGACAATACCTAGGCCTGAACTTCACCAGGTCGGGCAGCGCTGCGGAAAATCAAAAACACAAACAGGAGAGAGAGAGAGAACACAAACAGTTTTAACATGGGAAAACCTTCTCCAATGATGAAGTAAAAACCCAGGGGACCTAGTCCAGATCAAAAATCCACTATGAAAATAATGGTTACAAAGAATCAAAATACACCAATGTGGTGGTTAACTCAACCTCTCCAACAATGGTGATAATCAAACTACCCTAGAGATGTTTCACTCAAATTCTCTCTAGAGATCTCTCAAATAAAAAGCATAAAGCTTTGCTCTCAAATCCCAAACAATTTTCTCTCAAATATCAAATCTCTCTCATCTAACCTAGCCTTCACCCTCAACTAATGAATATATAGAGGAGGTGAGATCTAGGGTTTAAGGTTTTTAGACAAATCTCTCAATGGGCTTGGGCTTAGCATTGAAGGAGGAAGCCCAACAAATCTCCCCCTCCGACTTCAATGCGTCGGCTTCAGCATCAACCCGGCTCGTTCACAGCAGTCTTCAAATTTCCTTACTGGAACCGGCTTTGTCATTAAGTCGAACCAATTTTGGTCAGTGTGCACTTTGACGAGTTCGAGCTCTCCACCTTCCACCACATCCCGGATCTAGTGATACCTCATATCAATGTGCTTAGTGCGGGAGTGATAGGTCGAATTCTTCGCAAGATGGATTGTGCTTTGATTGTCATAACCCAGCTCGTACTTGTCTTGATCATGGTCGAGTTCCATGAGGAACTTCTTATCTTCATCCACAACATCTCTTTG